ATACGGTCACAAAGATAAACTTGATTGTCATGAATCCTTTCACATACTGTGTTTTCGTGGAAATCTACTATAGCCAGGTTTCCGACACAACGGCGAGGCGGTCGTCGCAGCTCCCTGACCCTGTCAAAGGCCGCAGGCTGTATCGCGAACACACTTCTCGAAAGCATCGCAAGGCGTGAGTGTTTGCTTCAGCCATGCCGTAGAAGCTTACGGCACGAGGAAGTGAGCGCGGACTCGATTTGACATGCCAGACAGTGCATACTGCTTGGGAAACAGCTTTACTACCTAGGGCCGAAACATGTGCGAACCTCGGATGGAGACATCGTAATTACAACTTACTCATAGTGATTAGCCAAAATATGTAAGCAAAAGGACACCAGACTAGTGACTCTAGGATCTTTCCTATGCTATATTCAAGCTTCAAGACGCACTAGTTACCAAAAACATCCACCAACAGTGCTCCGGGATGTAGATATCGCAATTTATCCTTCGGTTTCGAGAGGGTTGGAGGGTTTTTCTAGAAGGCTGACGAGCAGCAGGAAGGCTTGTGCATGTACTCTACCGTTTCATGGTCAGTGTTAATTGAACTGCACCTAGTCTCTCTGCAAAGGATAACTTGAAGGCTGAACTTGCTTGCAGGATAAAGCGGGCTTGGCATGTAGGGTTGCAGTCAGGAAACTAGACTCACAGTTAATTGTAAAGCACAATGAAGGTATCTATAACACAAAGGGCTTGACTGACTAGGCAAGAGGCCTCAGCGAAAGCACCGTTTGGAAAAAGACTCATCATGGTCGCAACCAAATTATACCCGGCTGCACTGCAGAACTCGCACCTCTACAGGGGAACGGTGTGGGCCGTACTCTATTTAAAAACTAAAGCTCCAGTCCTCAATCCAAAGGATTTATATCTCCAAGACCAAACCCTGAACCCTCAATCCATAATTGCGGCCATAGTGCGAATACTTAGCATACAGTCTTCGGGCATGTTCTGCGGAATACTGATGCCGGAACAAGCCAAGCATCAACTGTTCAGCTCCTATATTATACAGCCTTCAGTCTAAAACCCTGGCCCGAACCCTACTATAGGGGCTTTAATAATTAGAATAGGCTTTGGGGGTGTATGCTCTTGCCTTTTATTCTATTAAGGAACCCCCAAAAACCCTCTTCTAATTATTAAGGCCATCAAAGGCCGCTACATCAACCCTAGAGTCGGCCTATCGAAAGTGCACGCACCGCCAAAAGCAATGGCGTGTCCCCGTGTGCGGAGGCCGTGTCCTGCAAAGAGCAACGCCAGTAGGAAAAGCCTTTGGGTCAAGGGTTTCGTTGTCCGAGTTCTTGTAACAATGCAGAATTAGACATTTATCATATCTCCATCTACATATACTTACATATGCACGCACTGCGAGGATATGCACGTACGGCATTCGTTCGATGCTGCTCAGTACTTTTAAGGGTCGCTACGAGGTACGAGTAGGGTCTTTGCAAATTTAAAGCTATGTTCACAACGCAGTCATACTCACCCAACCCAAATCATCCTTAGGAGCCCTGTATGAACATGCTCTCTGAAACGCCTTTTATTGAAGCCTTCTGAGCCTGCAGTAAGTAGACGCTAGATTGTTAAGCTAGCTTCCCCCAGAACGGGCAAGCCAAATTGGTTCAGAAATGTTTAATCTGATGCGCCGTGCTTGGCCTGACTCTGGCACGCGTCTTTCGGAGCTTCGCACTTCAACAAAATCTGGGCTGTAGGATCAAAAAAGAGGTCAAACCACGAACAAATTATGTGTTGACTGGGTCCAAAAGTAGACCGAAGCCCCCGGCGGTCCACATCCGCGAACTTAGCGACCAAGCACCGAACGATGGCTGCACGGATCGATGCTCCTGGACAAGCCAAGCAATCGTGGGATTAAGGCGTACATTGTTCTTTTGCATCAAGACTTGTGCAATCGCCTGAAGGTCTGGGTACACAGAGGTTCAGCTCATCCAGAATCCATGAACCCGAAGCCGTAAATTTGGGCTTCAAGCTGTACCCGTCCAAGGCTGCACAATCCTCGGAGTTGAACTGCTACTGGTACTCAGGTTGTTTCCAGATAAAGGCCAATTCAAAAACACCTTGTCCTCCTTCTACGACAAGCTGCCCTATCATCATGATCATCATCTAGGAATCTAGTTGTTGGCTTGCGCGTCACAAGAACCGCTCACCTTTCCACTGTGGCGGGACTATGTGCGTGCACCCGGGGGATGAAAGCTGCTTGCTCAAGCGCTGAGATAACACCGTCCTCCTTCACTGTCCGCCACCTTGGTCTCATGGTGGGAAAACAGGCAACCATGATTCATGGCAAGAAGCATCGCAAATGGCATTGGTCATTCGTGTCAGCACTAGCCTGAATCAAGTGAAATCACTCCAAACGTTTCCAATTCCCAACGGCTTTTCAAGCGCCAAGCGACGACTAGGTGCAAGGCGGAGTTGTCCCGAGCAAATCCAGTTGCACATGCTTTCCTGAGAGACTTCAACAGTCAACAACACTTTTCGAGCTGCAGGTCGCGTTGAACATTTCGTGTCGACCAGCCGCAACAATTCAAGTGCAAACCTTGCTTCAGCCGAGCATCTGTAACTTCGAGCGTACATCACTCGGCTGAGCTGCTAACTCTTCCACAACTTCCTGCGCTTCCGGACGAGGGAGGAGCGATACAGAACAAGTATGCAAGCCGTATGTGACTTGGCTGCCTTGGCGCTGGCATTACGTTGTTCAATCTGCAACCACAACTACCAGTACCAAAAGGTCCATGAGTCAAATGTGCCAAGAAACCCTCACACTGTGCATGCCTGTGCCAGAGGAACCTGACAATATAACATTAGGGGCTTTAAAGAACAATATAATAATATAATATTCGGGGCCTTAATAATTATAGAACAAGCTTTGGGGTACATATACTATAATCATAATCAGGAACCCCCACAAAAGGGTGTAGGTAGTTATATAGGCCCCGGTATTAACACAACTCATATATGTGCTCCGGGCTGGACTCACCAGCCAGGCAACCCGGACCCTTTCTGAAAATAAGAGTACCTTATGTTGGGGTCCGTATAATCAGGATCCTACTATTCAAGGTACTATATTAGGGTCCCCTATTTTCGACAACCCCCATTTCTGAACCTCTGAATAGCAGCGTATCCTTGGGCAGCAATGTCTCGGCAGCGAATTGCCAACCTGCATCTGTGTCCAGCAGAAAGTCCTTCCCATCGGAACCGGGTAAAGGGGTCTTTCGTATTATGGGAACCGTAACTACAAATACCGTTGTATCTATGTGTATTATTGTCCCAGGGCCCGTCCAGTGCAGCATCTCCGTCGCCCTCGAATCGCTCTAGAGCTGCTATGGCCACGACCTCCCAGCACGGCCGATGCTTCAGAGCTTATAAGATTTAGGGAGTGTGTGGCTTGCTGTAAACGTTAATAAAGCAACAACTAGATGCCAGGCATATTGACCATTCCCTACACTTCTATATACACTTATCAGACCTATGACACTGTAAATTAATTTCCTGCATCTGCGAAACACACACGAAACACCAACAAGTGAGATCGAAACGAAGCAAACAGACGACCAGGTTCGTTACGTGAAAGATGGTTGAACAATCGAAAACCAAAAGAATCCACGCTCCAAGAGACAAACGGAGACGGAAAAGTGGTCCAGAGTTAAAATTACGCATCGTCTCCATTGTAGTTCCTTTTTTGATTAACAAATTTTGTATTCAGAATCCCAGAAAGTAAACCAAAAAAGGAACTACAATGGAGACTATAGATACACGTATCATCATGACGTATCCATCAGAAGCTCGGCGAAGCTTGTGGTATGAGGGATCAGTACAGGGGTACCGTACTCTCAGCTGCATGGGAGAACAGCCCTGAAGTATCATCAGGTTCATAGGGTTTAGAGTTTAGAAGTTTAGGGTTCGGGTCGAAACATTGAACTTGTGATCCTCATCAATCATCCGAACAGCACAGTCAAAACGCCGTGTCGCACTACATTAGCTAGCACCCTAGATGGGCTCTAGACAATAATGGGGGCGAACTCGAACGACCTCCATCAAACGATCCTTACCTTGAGGTGCCTGCCAGCTAACATCCGCAAAAATTCCCTGATTATCGAGAAAGCTCCCGCAAACATCAGCCGAACCAATGACGGCCACCGGACACACATCGAGCAACTCGCCTCATCCACACCATGCGCGGCTAAACGCGCCACGTTTGCCGCGAAGGCGTCATCCATCTCAACGCCTCTCGTGTGCCCGATGTACGATACAATCCGGTGTGACCAATGCAATTCAAGCACGACGCAATTCAAATAATGCAGTGGCATTCGTGTCCAAGCGCATAACACCTTCCGCGTTGGCCAGCCTGCCGCACATATGGAGGATGGCCGCCACGACGTACCGCAAAGGTCGGAAGGGTGTATCACACGGCTTATAAGATCAGAAAGTCTATTTGCACAGAAAGGTGTGCATGCTCAGGGCTTAAATATGCTTAAATGCCAAAGCTGTGGTTGTGGAGCAAAGTGGCAACAACAGAATGAACACCATAGACTAGACGTCTGGCTATGCAATGCCCGATGCCATGTTGGTCGCCTGTTCCCTTGGGACCTCATTCAGTGTTTCTTGTGTAATATCTCCATGACCTCTGCGCGTTCAGCACATGAAATTGCAGCGGCACATGCGCATGCAAGCTCTTACCGAGTGCCAAAGATCAACGACTCGATGAGCATCTGCCGGAGAGAGGATGACGATGCAGCACTGCTGCCGTAGAATCCCAGTCGCAGTGGTTTGTCGGCAGGGTAGGATCCCGGCACCACTCATTGGTACGCTAGCTCAGACGCAGTGCATGCGCAGCGAAGGCTAACATGTTCCTTCCATCTTGTGACATGGCATGTGGTGATCCGCAGGGCACCGCACGACAGCGTCACCACGTGTCACACACAAGGCAAAGCGACGCACGAGCTCCGCACAGCTTCATTGATGATTTGCTTGAAGGCGTTTTCGACATCAACCTCAAAGCCAACACAACCGTGAAACGACGTGAATTTGGTCTTTGAAGCATGCATGACTGGCGAATGCAGACCCCATGAAATTACAGTGTTGTAATTGTAGTAAGTGGTGCACTTGCAAACCGCCACGCAGCCGGCGCATCGCTGAAGCAACCACACCGGTCTCCTCGTCAAGCATGGCTTTACATTGAATGGAAGAACCACCGAAATATATGGTCCAGCCGTAGCGCCTGTGCTCGTATTCTCCGAACGGGAAAGGCAAGCCGTGCGTATAGAATATACTAAGTTCTTTGCCGAACCGGGGATCTTGACTAGAATAGATGCTGTGAGCCATGCTAAGCCATGCTCAGTGCACGAAACATGTTTCATTTCCTGTTGCTACCACAATCGCCGTGTCATGCTGCATATTGTGCTGAATGTGTTGGTCTGGCCATGTCCTGCACAAACAACGAGGTTACCAGGTTATCAAACGCAAAAACTACAATCACAAATTTGTGATGCAAGCCAATACCACGGCCCAATGCGCCTAAGCGTTTTCGAGGGGCAGGTGTGTAGCTGCACATCAAGATCGTGGGTGCCGTCAGGCTTGCAGGATGCATGATTTGCAGGCAGCCTCTTGCAACTCCACAAGCCGCGATGCCAAGGCAGCTTGTCCGCCTCCCGCAGCTTCATACACCGTGTCGGAAGCCGACCACAATGCAACCAGGAACACGAGCAATCACACATGCAGAATCATGCAAATGCTACGAATTCACTGGCAATCGCACCTGCAGCTTCTTGGCTGTACTTCAGCGTCCATTCGCACAAATTTCCCAACCTGACAAACTCCAGCAACTCCTGCAAAATGTTGCAAACCACATTACATCATGTGCCGTGGTGCCAAGTGCCCAGGTATAGCCATGTGACTGTGCCACGGCGGCGTTGAGCTCGGAATGTGCCGCATCATCCGGCGAAGCCTGTGTTCGAACAAGCAGATTCACCTGCTATAACATGCCAACAAGTAAATGTGTGTCTCATGCAAGCCTTCCCGATCCCGACACGGTCACAATGTCGCAGAACACTCCAAACTGCGACCTTGCCTCGGCTGATTGCTTCTGCTTCGCCAACAATGAAGACATCTCGCCACGCAGCGCAGCGACCTACGTCCAAACAGTTGCATTCGCAGAGAGATGAATGATAGTATGTATGCCGTGCTCATAGCTTCACGCAGCCGTATTTTCGTTTCGCTGCGTAAATTCCTTCTTTCCATAACAGCCCCGCAGATCATCTTTGGCTCGTGTCGAGGGTGCACTCGCACCGTCTTTTTCGCCTCAACCGGCCATGTGCTTCTATGTAAACACTCTCGACTTGTCGTTGGATCGGCGACAAGCGTCACTCTACCCTCTCGTGATACTATGCATTACTTTGCCCTGATGAAATGGATTCGTGGTACCGGTGCTAGAAGAAGTTGGGTTCCGCCCCCCCCCCCCCGCACAGCGAACTGCCTCCACTCCAGCACTTGCTTGTTGTGCCGGTCAGTGACGGCTTCGGGGTTGAAGAAACAAAGGCCGAGCAATTCGTCGGCCCTCCATGCACACTTGCGCTGCGCCGGGGCAAACGACGCGAAGAGACACGTCAGTGGAATCACAACACAGGGAGAAACCACGGTGGCAGCAGAAGCTGGGGCGATGTCAACAAGCCCAAATCCACAAATGACCTGGCCCCGTAACCCACAATATCAGGCCTCTACTGCAAACAAGTAAAAAAAAGGAAGGTAATTGTTAGGTGGCACTGGATGGGTGCAACAACATAAGAACGGCTATTGCTTTTGCATTATTACAAAAATCAAGGTCCCGAAGTGTACTTTGCTGTAAATGCAGTCAAAAAAATACAATTGTTCGCCTTCTCGCTGGCACACGTCTTTTGTTACGGGTTGGCTGTTGCCCGGCGAGATGCATTCCGCTTGACGCACCCAGTGCTTACGGATTGGAGGCTTATTTTTTTTGTTTTCGCGCAGCGTTTTGTTGACCTTCCTGGCAATTGTTGATCTTACATGTGCTGACCATTCGTGCGGTTTTTCCAGAACATGCTGTCGGTAACATGCACTGCTGATGCACGGAGAACGAAAGGTAAAAACAATTTAATTTTCATCCACAGCATTTCAAATTATTGAATTCCTTGGTTAATGACGCACCGTTTTGGTCGCAGCGGGCGACCTTCGTGTCTCCGCCGCAGGGGCGAGCATGAGGACCCCGTCCAAGGCACGCAGCCGGTCCTACATAGCCGCTAAAAGTAAAATCGATGACGCACTGCCTGTTCGAGCCTTCCGAAGCTTCATACCGGGGCTGTTGGTGTAACACAAACGGACATGGATGTTGATTGCTTGCAAAACCAGCGTGATTTTCTTTTGTTTCACGCAGATGTGTGACGAACAACACGAATCCAGCAAAACAGGGGGAGTGGGGCCAAGCGCAGCACGGAGGTGGCCGGCCAAGCAGTCGTCTGGGCCGTCGGAGGTTTCTGGTTGCAGTGGGTGCAACCAAGGGCCTCCCAACGCCGTGCTGGCCGGCCTGCCCAACCGGCAGACGCTGCGGCGCGCAAAGAGGGAGGACAGCACCGGCGAGAGAACGCATTGTTGTTACTTCCGGTGTTGCTGATGCTACTGTAATTACCCGTTGTGTTGGCACCGCGACAGCGCCTGCTGCTATATTGCTGCCCTGAATTTTACTGCTACCACATGCAATCGTCGTGTTGTGTTGGCACCGCGACGACGCCCGCTGCTATACTGCTGCCCTGCATTTTACTGCTACCACAGCGACGACCATCACAGGAAGGCTGATCGCAGCCCCCAAAACAACATGCAATCGTCGCGATATTTTCAACTCCTGTCAATAATGCATCATTCATTAACACGGAAAAGCACTAGACATACTACAATTTTCGTGTAATACCGGTGTAATACCCGGCTCGGCGCGCCAACACGCCAACTTGCGTGCAAGCAGCGTGGCGGTCGCCATACACGTCCGGGCAACCTCTGCAGGAGCAGGGCTTTGGGGTAAGCGGGAGGGGTATGCAAAGTCTACGCAGCAGCACGAAACAGTACTCCGAGACAGCGGGTCAAGTTCCGTGAAGACTGTCTCGATTGCGCGCTTGTCGGTGGCTCTTGATGCCGATCCAGGTCTTCCGCCTGGTCGCTCCGAACACTCAGCTGATTTGCGACTACTGTTCGGCGATTCCTGTGCAGCTGGCATTGTGTTGCCCTCTCGGCGCGGCGAAGCTCTCGGAGCGAAAGCTGAGCGAAGGTAGCGGGCAGCCTGCAACCGCACGAGTGGTACGAATAGTTCCAAATAATCCACGTAATGCGAATGACACTGGCAATGCTACAGTAATATGCATAAAAGTCGCAATCTTGTTCAATTTTTTCGCACACGACGGCTGCTGACAAAATAATAGCACTGGTAAGACGAATAGTGCGAGTGGAACCCGTGATGCGTGTAATACTAAAAATACGTCTGCTGTCGCGTGGCGAATGGCTGTCCGGTCCAGGCCGCACACTTCCTACACTGGCTTGTTTAGCTGCGCAGTGGGACCCGACAGGGGTCTGACGGCGCCGCCAGGTCGGTCACGCCTTCAGCAGGTGTCTCACTGGCGGAACAAGCCTTGCCCGACCGTGCGCGGTTCTGGCGACGATGCGAGGGCGGCTGCCTCATGCGAAACCAACATAGCATCAGCACAGCACATCACGCGGCATGATCAGCCCCGTATGAACGACGAAACCAAACCGTCGGCGTCGTTTGCCGGCACGGCGGCACGAACCGTCATGTGTGACATCCGCGTGTGCGCAACGGACCCATGCGCGGTTTTTGCTCGGCGGGACAAAGGATTGACAGGACGTGCCACACTAGTATCACAAAAATATAAACAGCTCGAATACAACACGAAATATTGGAATTATGCGTAAAGCGAGTACGGCAGATAATACCAATAACATTCGAAAAATCAACTCTACAAATCATACGAGCGGTATAAACAACCGAATCGTGCAACGAACAAAACGAAAAATACGAGCAAACGTCGTATTACGAATGATACGAGTGATTCGAATACAATGAATATGACTAGAAAAACTCGGAGTACTAGCAATGCAGGTGTTTGCTAATACTAATAAAACGACAAATGTTAACCATACTATTGTTATTACTACTACTACTACTACTACTACTACTACTAGTACTACTACTACTACTACTGCTACTTCTACTGCTAGTGCTACTACTGCTCCTCTCCTGCTCCTGCTCCTGCTGCTGCTGCTGCTGCTGCTGCTGCTGCTGCTGCTGCTGCTGCTATTGCCACCACCACCACGACGACGACGACTACTACAAACAACACGCCTATTAATAGTAATATCCGTGTACATCCGCAATACTAATAGAATTAATGATACTAGCCTTAAATAATGCAAATTTTACGAGTAACACCATTAACATTAATAATACTAGTAACACTCACTGTGATACTGGCAATGCTGGTGATACTCGTTATACTCGTAACATTGGCAATACTCGTAATACTGGTAACACCAGTCATACCAGCAGCACGACGAATAAATGGTACACCGGCCTGCGAAAGGCAGTGCATTGGATGCTGGTTACGCAAATCCCCAAACATACCGACCACGAATCCCCAACTAGACGCTGACCGCACCGCCTTAGCCAAAATTAGTGACCAAGCAGACGCTGCGAAACGTAACACATCGCTTTTCACACCCCAGGGTAGCACGGGTCATACCAGTAATACTAGTAACATGGGTCTAATACTAGTAATATTGGTAATACTAGTAATATTGGTAATACTAGTAATACTAGATAATACTAGTAATACTAGTAATATTCATGGCTGTTTCAACAATACTTTT